CTGTCAAAGAGCTGATTGTCTGCGCCCAAGTGGCAGAGACTCGCACGGTGGCGTTGGGGCTTTGGTCTACCACTTCCTGACCCCGTAGACACTGCTCGGCTTTTTCTCCATCAACCTTTTTGGCTGTGCCTGCACACAGGGTGGAGATGTCTTGTAGAATTTACTGCCCCTCCTTGAATAGTTTCTTTTATCACTCACAAGGCCTGTCATTATAGTGTGTAGCGCTGCCTGACCTGGTCTCGCCATGAAGCTACCGTCCTTTCTGCCCGCCACCGACCCTGACAGTGTTTCATCAGCGGGGCTTGTCCTGGAGTCCTTGGTGATTTATGAGCTTCTTGTGGACGTTAGCAGACACATCTTGGCAGCCTCTCTGTGAGAGCATGCAGCTCTTGCACCAAAATGCTCACTGGTATCTGCAGAGTGAAATGCTTACATTCACCATAATTGCAACTTTTCTGTCCTTTGTCATAGAAATTTTGATAGCCACTGGCCATATTTGGGTTAAGTCTTAGGGTTTGGACCAAACTTAGACCTGCCTTGGTTTCACCTTCTAAGAGTGTCCACTTTAAGATGAAATGGGAAACAGTACCTGTAGCCGCTTGCGTATCTTAACCAATATTAGTGAGTCATAACGTTTGTCTTAAATTTTTGTCATTTTAAAATGTATTGGTTTTTACTTCCCAAATCCTCCCCTCTGCCACCCTCCCCCATACATTTGGTCGGTGGAAACACGTCATTAACACTTTATATCAATGTTAATGGCATTTGTTTGTTCGGGGCTCAAATTATAGTTACTTGAGAAGACCTTAGCTCCTCTACAAGCTGGTGAGCTTGCTGAGATTGGAATTTGTGCTTGGGTGGCCTTTTCATCTCCTGTAATTTCTCATGCAGTGCATTGAAGACAGTAGGTGCTCAATGCCTGTTTGTTATGTAGATGAATAAAGACACGATCCTAGATGAAGTGGGCTGTGTCTCTGACACATTTTTGGGTCATTGCCGTGTTATTTGGAGATCCTGGTGTTTCTTGGTCCGGGTGGGATGTCACAGTTGTTACATGACTTCCACTTGGAGTCCTGGACCCCTTGGCTTGGGCCCACTGTGTTTTTCACATTCTCCTCCTTAAAAGCTCAGGAAGTACTACATGTGCCTTAAGCAGCCCCTACTATGCACCTTAGTGAAAAAGCTTCTAGCGTTGTTCTAACGTGAGAATGATGGAACAGCAATCCACAATGAAAACCCTTTTCCAGTCTGAGGGTTCTTGGAATAACCCTGTTGTGGGTGGACTCAGACCAGAGTGGGCGCTATTGCTGTGCAACAGTGTTTTGCCTCCACAGAGGACTATAAAGAAGCCTTTTCCCCATTGTTTTGCTGCCCAAAGATTGTAAGAATGGCAGTCAAGGCATTGAACGTGGATGTCCCCTTCAGTCCGGTCAATAAATCTACTCTTTCAGACACAGTGCATCATAGATCCATCATTGACGGCTCGGCCAGGGATGGGAAGGTACTGGGAAGAGAGATTTAGTAAGGATGGACATTCAAAAACGTCAGTGGCAACAAACCTGATGAGCACAAGGGTTTTCTGCAATTAAAAATAAAAACAGGAATGTGCATCTTTCTTCTTCTCCCAAGGGTCTTAAAATTGGTTGTTGACAAGGACTCCCTCTTGCTCTGTCTTTCTTCCCTGCTCCTCATCACCCCCAAGAGACTGAGCTCATTTAAAATCTGGGGGCCTTTCTAGGTTTTTAAAATAGTAGCACAGTGCTTCTGTGACCATGTTAAGCTGCATTTTCACTGTCATCTCTAACTTGTAGCAGTCCTTGGTAATTACACGGTGCTTTCTCTCTGCAAATCTGTAAACACAATACAAATGTTAACTCTTTTATTCTCCCAGCATCTCTGCGGAGAGAGAGAGATTGCACGGTGCCTTAGTGGTCTAGGTCTACCTCGGTCTGGTGACATCTCATCGAGGTATTCTATCCTGAAGGTGGCAAAGCTGGCAAAGTGACACCCACTTTTAAGAACGATGTTCTGTGCTGCCAAATGAAAACCCTAAAGTCTCCATAGAAGTAAGAATCCAAAGGATAAGTCTCTCCTGACTTGAGCAGGCAGATACAGCCAATTGTTACTATTTTTGATTACAGATTCGATTGCTGGCATGGTTTGGAAATATTTTGTCTGTTAAGGAATGCGGAGTTTTGTTTCTGACATACGTTATCAGCTCTTGACATTTAAAAGGGAAAATTCATCACTGCCTCTTTGGCAGCAGTTTTTATGGCTTTTTGTTATTTCTTTTAAAAAGTCCATTCTGCTTAAAGATCTGGGTGGTTTTCTTTTTTTTTTTTTTTTCCTTTTATTCTTTTTTTCCAAAGAGTAGAATACCAAATAATCTCTAAATTTAAACTAGTGAATTTCAAAAGCCAGACTAGATTTCGAAGAGACTTATGAAACAAAACAAAAAGATATATTAGTTTTAAATTTCTTTAATCATAGATTATTTAATCTTTAATCTTGAAACATTGTTTTCAGTTAACATCACGATTTTAATCTTTTATGAAAATATGATAATTATTCCATTTTAAAAATCTGTTGGAAAAATCACACACTTTCAGTATCTACAGCACAATAAGATATGTGAATGTTCCATTTCTGTTTTCTGATTTGCCTATTTTGTCTTTAATGACAACCTATTTAAAGTCTTTCAAGTGGTGGAATAACATGATAACATGTCTTCACTGGTAATTTAATACTTGGATATAATGGGTTTATCTGAGAGATTTTGTTAAAAACAGCAAGATGCCTGAACACCAAAGCTGAGATATTTTTAATCACAGAATTATAGTAATTATACAAATCCCAAGATTTTCATCAGATGGAAAAGGCTTCTAGGGCTAAACATGCACTTTCAACTTAGCACTAATAACTGTGTATTGTTCTAAATTATAGTAGAGAGACTCCTCAGGCCAAGGGAAATATTAGAAAGAAGGTAACATGTTGAATTTTTAGGAAAATTGAGAAATAAACTATTTTGATAGCCTAGTGGGATCTGTAAGAGGTGCACCTCCTGGGTAGCAGAAGAACTTCCGTGTGCAGACGTAGAACATAGAGGTGAATATTTAAATAGAGTCAATGAGGCTGTTAGTATTTACTAAATATTCAGAGAACAACAGCTTTCTCTTTTCTCCCGAGAGTCCCGAAGTTGCTAATTGTCTGGGCTAGGTGCCTTTTTCTCATCAGTAAATGGGACAGACCACCAGTAAATGAGATGACTATTGGCCCAGAATCTGGCTTTCTGGGTTTGGTGAAAAACTATATAAAGAATAATTTAGTTATTGTGGAGATTATTAAAAATGTCAAGTTTTTAATAAAATGGCAAAGGCACAGTATCCATGGGGAACTTGTTTGTAAGAGAAGTGTTATAGAAAGATGTACCTAGCCAGGTGTGGTGACTCATGCCTGTAATCTCAGAACTTTGGGAGGCCGAGGCAGGAGGATCACTCAAGGCTAGGAGTTTCGAGACCAGCCTGAGCAAGACACCATCTCTGCAAAAAACAGAAAAATTAGCTGGGCATGGTGGAGCGTGCCTGTAGTCCCAGCTACTCAGGAGGCTGAGGCAGGAGGATCACTTAGGTTCAGGAGTTCAAGGTTGCAATCAGCTGTGACTAGGCCACTGCACTCTAGCCTGGGTGACAGAGTGAGACCCTGTCTCCAAAAAGAAAAAAGAAAGAAAGTTGCATCTAGAAGGTTTTATAAAAATGTCCCTAAATGATAAATTTTAATTGATCTGTTTTCCATTAATCATTCTTTTGTTTATTTATTTTTCCTGGCTAAGCTGGGTAGAGGGAGCCGAGGACAGGACATTGACGGAGAACCCTGAAAAGGGAGCGTGCGGGGGGGATGTGAGGTGGGTGGAGGAGGGGAGAAGGTGCTCCCAGGGCACATGGGGAAGGCGAGTCAGGTGGTCTCGTCCTTTGTCACAGGGGTTTGGAGTTGGGGACAGGGCACGTGAAAGGCCCTGAGACTGATCTGAGTATTTCTGATGAGCAGTCAGGACACGGAATTCCTCGTAGAGGCTGGAGCAGAGACATGCCTGGTATTTGAGTCCCAATAGGACGGTATTTCTGACCTGCGTTCCCTTTCTAGGGTAAACTCCTCTTCCCCAGTCTGCAAGCAGAATTGGTTCCCTGATTCCTTGTGAACATGTCACTATCCATACTATCCACACTTATTGTGTCTGTATGTGAACCTCTGGGTGCTTCCTCGCCTCCTCATCGGAAAGCTGGGACAACATTTTGAGCCACTTTCAGGCCTGCCCCGAATGAGCGCACGCAGGTGAACTCACGAGGGCCTCACCTAATTGCACCCACCCCTGCTGATGGGCCCTAGCCCAGCAGTCCCCTGCAGGCAATCGCCATATGGAGGATTTACAAGATACAGAAAGAACAGCGAGAAGCAGGAAAAAATCTCTCTGAATCCTTCCACCCAGAGGGAATTATTGTTCACATTTTGCCACATTTCCTTCGGTCTGTTTTCCGTGCCCTTTGTTCTGTATATATGTGACATCGCAGGTGAGCACATTTGTGCTGTGACTTCCAAACATCAAATAACATTTTTTCGTGTATCATAAGCCTTTTCCAGAAACCTCCTAGGAGGTCTGTTGAATACTGATTGCTGCAGAGAGCACAGGGGTGTTGCTATTTTGATTAAGTGTTGCTGTCCTTTGTGTCTCCTCCCAGGTCCCCTCTCGTGTCAGCTGCACATCTGGAAGGCTATGATGGGAATGAAGGCGAGAACTTGGAGGTGTCACTTATCTCATCGCTTCTGCCTGCGACATCATCCTTTGCAAGTAGGGAAGCCGTTCCGTGCGGTGGTGAATGCCAAGGGGCAGGACGCGTTCTAGAAGGCAATGGACGCAAGCAGCTCCGGGGGCCCCAAACGCACGCGTGCTGTGGTCTAGCCCAGGGAAGGATGTCGCTGGTGCCGGACGCATGGCCGATGCCTGAATGAGGATGCTTCGCCGGGGGCTGCTCGCGTGGGTCTCCCGGGTGGCGGTGCTGCTGGTGCTGCTCTGCTGCGCCGTCTCCGTGCTCTACATGTTGGCCTGCACTCCGAGGGGCGACGAGGAGCAGCTGGCGCTGCCCAGGGCCAACGGCCCCACGGGGAAGGAGGGGTACCAGGCTGTCCTGCAGGAGTGGGAGGAGCAGCACCGCAACTACGTGAGCAGCCTGAAGCGACAGATCGCGCAGCTCAAGGCGGAGCTGCAGGAGAGGAGCGAGCAGCTCAGGAACGGGCAGTACCAAGCCAGCGACCCCGCAGGCCTGGGGCTGGACAGGGCGCCCCCGGAGAAGACCCAGGCGGACCTCCTGGCCTTCCTGCACTCGCAGGTGGACAAGGCCGAGGTGCACACCGGTGTCAAGCTGGCCACCGAGTATGCGGCAGTGCCTTTCGACAGCTTCACCCTGCAGAAAGTGTACCAGCTGGAGACCGGCCTGACCCGCCACCCCGAGGAGAAGCCGGTGAGGAAGGACAAACGGGACGAGTTGGTGGAAGCCATCGAATCGGCCTTGGAGACCCTGAACAGCCCTGCGGAGGGCAGCCCCAACCAGCGTCCTTACACGGCCTCCGATTTCATAGAAGGTTGGCATGTGCGTGCAGTGGGGGGCAAAGTGGGAGAAAAGGCATCTGGGGGTCCTGGCACCCAGGCAGACTCCAGCTGCAGGAGGCTGGCAGCTGGCTCAGGGATGGCTGGTGGAAAGTTTTATGGGAGCGCCACGAAAGGTATAGCATGGATTTTTATTTTGCAGAAACATCTGTTTCCACTTTCTTTCTCATGGAAACCACAGTCATTGAGTGGACAGTTTCATTGTTCCTTGGCAGGAGGTAGAACTTCTTGCTTTCGTTTTTCTTTTCAAAGCAATAAAACAAAATATAAACATAAAAGTTTGAAACCCAAATAGAATAGGATAGGCAATTTTAATCTCCCCTTCTCACAAGCGCTTCCAGTAATTGGACCAGGTTGCCAAGCCCACGAATAGAATAATAGCAAGCATGTGGTATTGTACTTGCATGTGCCAAGCATTGTTCTAGGAACTTTATACTTTAATTTTCTTTTTCATAATGACTCCATGAGGGCATGAGGAAATGGAGGTATAGATTAATTAAGTAAATACCTAAAGTTGTTCAGTTAGCAAGTGGTGGAGCCGGGATTTGAACCCAGGAAGTCTAATTCCAGAGCCCATGCCCTTAACCTCTGCATTGTATTGTACAGATTGTCAGAGCACGTGGAAACCAGCAACACGTGGAAATCAGCTCTTTTCATGGGCACAGGACAGCCTGGTATCAATTCGTGTTCGTGTCTAATTTTATTTATTTTATATATATATTTAAAAAAATTTTTTTAGAGACAGTGTTGCCCAGACTGGAGTGCAGTGGCACAATCACAGCTCACTGAAGCCTCAAACTCCTGGGCTCAAGCAATCCTCCTGCCTCAGCCTCCCAAGTATCTAGGACTATAGGCACGTGCCACCATGCTCAGCTTTTAAAAATTTTTTGTAGTGATGGGGTCTTGCTATGCTGCCCAGGCTGGTCTCAAACTCCTGGTCTCAAGTGATTCTCCTTCCTCAGCCTTGCAAAGTGCTGGGATTACAGGCGTGAGTCACTGTACACCTGGCCTGTGTCTAGTTTCTTGGAAGACATTAGTGTCTTCTTATTAACTTACCTATTGATACCAGCTCAGAAATCAACTAATAATTTAGGAGAAGCAATGTCTTCAAGGGCATCTAGTTCTTTCCCCATTTCTGGATAGAATCTACTTCAACTTGCCCAGGGATATAGCTGTGTCCACCTAACCTCACTCCCTACTTTGGTCATGCAACCACCAAATCATGGCTTCTGAGGGAGACAGACGCTCTATAGTCATATCAAAAGCCCTCCTGCTGTCATTTATGCCTATTCTCTTTGGGTACTTTCCCGTCTTATGCTTTTTTCCACTTTATATATGAACCATAAATTTATACAATTTTAGTGCATCATTATTTTTCATATACCTAGAGCCGGGTAAAGAAATCTTTTACACGATCAAGCTTTTGGAGTATTTTTTTTTTATTTTTACTCATTTTATGAGATATTAAAAATGTCTAGAACATTCAACAGCTAACCAGTAATAAGCACATGGTGAGCACTCGGTAAGAGTTCAACATATAATGATGATGCAACATCACATTTTATAGTGCTTTACAGTTTATGAAGCATTTTCACATATATAATCTTGCTAGCTGACTCCCAGGGAGACAAAATCATTAAATATCATTAAAAAACAAATCCTGGTTGCCACTCTCCCTGGAGGATGCTACATAGAGCTGCCCATATACAAAGCAATTTCAAAAGAACTTGATTACAAATCAATGCCTATAATTTTGAATGTTTGACCTTGTGATTTTCAATCTGCATTCATATTTGGAATCTCTGCTTCTCTGTGCACAACATCTTAATATCTAAGGCCTGTCTTTGGCAATCAGCAGTGACACCAGCCTCTTGTCCCTGAGCTGATTTGCTCTGAGGTTTGGCTGACTTTCTGTTAGAGACATTCTCATCGTAACCACGCAGTGTTGCTTTATGTGCAGCACACGGCTGGTATTTTAAGGCAGATCAATCCACATGTATCTCCCAAATGTGGTGAAAGTCTAGTCACCTGTTTTCATATGAGTAAATAAAGATAAACACTTTAAGTATATTTATACAGATTTGACTGTCATAAACAGCACAGTTTATTTCATTTCTAACAATTCTTATCAATAACACAAGATTGTGGAGGCAATTTTATATTCACAGATAGTGGGACATGATGAAAGATTCCAGCAGTCAGAGGAAGCTTCAGGGAGGCAGAATTATGAGCAATATAAGAAGTAACTTTGAAAATAGTGATTTTTCAGAACAAAGTGGGATTTATGCCATTACAAGAATTCTATCATCACCTAGGTGACCATTTGACCAGGAGATTATAAATCATGATTCTATCTTCAGAGAGGTGATTAGACTGAATCACACTCAAAGACCTCTTCGATTCTGGTTCACGGTTCTTTGATCTACACCTAGTTAAGGAGAAAGAAAGGAATGGAAAAGGTCTGATTCGAGATCTTTTATAATGAGTTAGAGCAAGTGATAGGATATTATAAGGGTGCAGTAGATCTTTAAAATAACTTCTTTGGGTTTCCGGACGTAACCTTAGAGTAATTTTGTGTTCGGGGTTGCAGTAGTCCACAAGTTGGAGCCATTTTGCAAAAGTCCATGGGAAAATTTTAGGTTAGATGTGGGCGTGTTTTGCACTCTCAGAAAGTTCTAATCTAAACGAAGGCAACAAATTTGCTGAACCCTGAACTAATATGACGGAGATGGGGATTCTTTGTGTTTAAAGAAATAATACTAAAAGCCGGTGGCATCCTTCCAGGTGATAATAGTCCTGTAAAACTTAACTGTAAGGCAGGTGGCGTGATGACACAGGCATCAGGAGCTGTGGGGCTTTGACCTTTTGCTCAGTTTCCACATCTGGCAACAAGAGACTTGACATTGACGTCCTACGCAGCCCAGCCTCCAGGTCTGTCTGATCTGCAAAATACAAAGCACTGCTTCGACTTCCTTTCTTTGTAGCTTTGCCAAGCAACCATCTCTGAGGGATGCTCTGTCATCTACTCTGCTGGGTGACCCAGGACAAGCCACCCACTCTTTGTGATACTGCTTAATAAAAGGAGGGATTCAGAGGGATGATTTACAAGGTCGTGTCTGGCTGTGGCCACTTTCTTCCCTCCTGTGCAGCTTGCGGAGGGAGAGTATCGTATGGATCGCTGCCCAATTTATCTATGTTGATCTAATTACTATCTGTCTCTAAAACACGGAGGGAACAATAGTTGTCACCTTTTCCCTTTCCCCAGATGCTTCATTGGCGCTGGCGTCTGTGTTGGATTCTTACATGATAGCGCTAATTTTTTACAACCATCTGGGAAAAGAAGTGGAAAGTAGAGACATGATCATGTCCTGTGCCTCAAGATGCTTGTTTATCTCAAGTAAACAGAAAACCCCTTTCTTTATGTTTGTAGTCGAATTATTCCTTTAGTATGGGATATGCAGACTAATACTGAAATCTGAGTAGCACATCTTTTGGTTTTGTTTTCATATTTTTAAATAAAACCTTTGGATGTCAGTTTGACATCATTCCATACAATAATTTAGCTTTCTGAATTCTTCCTTGTTTACAACGCAAACATCTGATAACGTGACTCCTATGGGAGGCACTGGTGCGCCGGTGCCGTGGGGTTGCTCTCTGTCACCAGGCCTCCCCCAGACTCTGCAGGGTTAGTGGTGTGGCAAGCATGGGTCTGCGGCCAAAAGGCTTGATCCACAAGCAAGTGAAGGGTTTGAAGATGCTATGGTTTGAATGGGGCCCCTCCAAAATTCAGGTGTTGCCGATGGGATAGGATTAAGAGGTGGGGCCTGTAACAGGTGATTAGGGCGTGAGGGCTTCTCCTCCATCTATATAAGGGATTAAGGCCCTTGTAAAAGAGGCTTCACGGAGCACCTTCAGTAGCGTGTCCTTGTGCCATGTGAGGACACGGTGTCCCTCCCTCCGGAGGATGCGGCCCTCATGAGACAACTGAACTTGCTGGTGCCTTAATCTTGGACTTCCCAGCCTCCAGAACTGTGAGCAAACAAATTTCCATTCTTTATAAATTACCGTCTTGGGTATTTTGTTGTAGTAGTACAAAATGGGCTAGAATGTACGTCTTAAAACAAGGGCATATGGAGATAGTTATAAAACCTTAGCAGGCTGCACAGTAAATGCCAGCCTCCTGTACTCTACAGCCAAGACCGCATGGAGACAGTGAGGTTTGTTTTGACTTCCATTGTTTGTGTATCACTAAGTAACCTCTAAAGGACACTCTATGACCGCATGGCTAACGCTTTGAGGCCTGTGGTGCTTGGGGAGCGGTGTGCCAGGGACTATAGTGGACAGGACGTGGGCCCTTTCCTTGGCATGTGTTTCAGTGATAGCTGTCCTTGTTGGCAGCTTTGTGACTTGGGGTGGAAATGGTAAGGCAGGTTTTCAGTGCATCGCTGGGAGTTTGGGGTGGGGGGTATCTGGGGATCTCGGTGCAGACATCAGGGAAAGTGTGGATTTGGCATAGTGGATGGGTCTCACCTGTGTGTGGGGTGCGGCAAGGCGGGACTCGGGCGGGCAGAACAGCAAAAGGACTTCAGGTGCTGAGTTAAGCCTTCAATTTCTCAGCTAGCGTCTCCAGGGAGGCGAGGGCGGCAGAACTTGCCAGAACGATCCTTCTGATCATCCCTCGTTCTCTGTGTGTGTGCTGAACCACCATGTTGGTTTGCCATTAAGTTTGGAGCAGGCTTGTGTGATCATAGGTTTCTCTCTCATCCCTTTATCTTATTACCGCCTTCAAATGTCCTCATTTGTTTGCTCATGATGTAAGCTCCTATATGCTCCTAAATGCTTTTTATTCCAAAATTAGAGATAAGGGGCTTAAATGCAAATAAATAGTCTGAGGCTACACTTTGCAGAGTGAAGTCTTCCTTGTGGTCAAGGTGAGAAAGGAGCCCAGCCTTGGATTTATGCCCATGGGCAGGAA